GAATTAAGGTTTTTGTACCTTGGATGCCTAATTCCTATGTAGATTGTGGTCAGTTTGGACATTCAGAGAAGCTTTGTCCTCAAGGGAAAAAAGTCGAACAAATTGGGAGTGTTAAAGGGTCGCAGGATGTTAAAAAGGATGATTCTGCCACTAATGGTGAGATTATAAAAGATATGGGTTCTAGAATGGTTATGGTTGGAAATATGTTTGCTGCTACAATCTCTAATACAATATCAATGGGGTCTAGTCCTGGTAAAGAAAGTGGTTATTCTGCTAATGTGAATGCTCAGGTAGCTAATCAGAATGTTCAGGAGAATGTAAGTGTTGTTATTGTTGATAGTAATCCTACCGCTAACACAATGTCAGTTGGGACTTGCCTTGGGAATGATAAAGGTTGTCCTGTTATGGTGGATGTTCAGGTGATTAAGCAGACTGAACAAGAGAGAAGTAGCATTCCAAATCCAGAGCAAGAAAGCAATCCCCCTATTAAGAGAGGTAGAGGAAGACCAGCTAAAGAGGGTAAGGTTATTGGGGGAGGATCAAGAAATAAGTTTGAAGTCCTTAATGCTATTGACCCTGATAGTTTGATGGAAGTACCTACTGAAGATTCTGGTAAAAAACAGAGGGGTGCTTCTCTGGGTGTGGCAAAAATAGTTCAGGAGTTGAAGCTGAAGAAAAAAGAACATGTTGATAAAGTTAAAAGAGCTGAGGAAAGAGGTGGTGCTTCTTGCTCTTCTACTGTGTCATGCTAATATGTTTATGGAATGTAAGGGGATTTAACAATCCCCTCAAGCAAGGTAAGGTGTTGAATTGGGCTTTTAGAAGCCAAATTAATATCTTGTGTCTTCTTGAAACAAGAGTTAAGGATAGCAAATCTAGAGATATTTTGAATAAAAAGTTTGGTGATTGGAAGTTTTGCTGTAATTACAGCCATGCTGAAAATGGTCGAATTTGGGTTCTTTGGCAGAAGAATTTAGATTGCTCTATTAGTTATGTTTTTGAACAAAGTATTACTATAAATGATAATTTTGGTGGAAATTGTTTTTATATTATTGCAGTGTATGGATCTAATGATAGTACAACCCACAGGCAACTTTGGACCCAGCTTAGCTCTATGGAAATTACAGTGGGAAATACGGCCTAGTTGATAGGAGATGACTTCAATGTTATTTTAAGAGCTGAGGAAAGCTCGACTCCAGTAAATTCTGGTATTAATGCTGATATTTATGAGTTTCAGAGTTGTGTGGAGGAGTTGGGTTATTTGACCACCCTTTTATTGGTCATTTATTTACTTGGTCGAACAAACAACAGGATACATATCTGACACGTAAACTGGACTGTATTCTTGTTAGCCCAAGCTGGATTGAAGCATTTACTGCCTCTGATGTTGAATTTCAAGCTCTTGGTGATTCAGATCACTGCCCTGCTTTAGTTTGGCTACACAAATAAGCCCTTGTTACTAAACCAAAGCCATTTAAGTTTTTCAATTTTTGGGTAATGCATCCATATTTTATGAATCTTGTTCAGGATTCTTGGCAAACCCCAGTTGCTGGGAACCAGCTCAGATACTTTTTCTAAAGCTTAAGAGGTTGAAGAGTTGTCTTAAAGACCTTAATAGAACCCAATTTAATGATATTTTGGGTCAAGTACAGAGAAAAAAGAGAGGAATTGATGAATATCTAACTTGCCAATTTGGATCCTACTAATGTTGGAAATTATATTAATATTGAGTTGGAAGTAGAAAGGGAATTAAAAGTCCTTGAGGAGGCTGAACTACTTTTCTACAAGCAAAAGGCAAAAGTAGATTGGATTAAAGATGGTGACCAAGGAACCCGATTCTTTCATTCTATAGTGACTAGCAAGAGGAAAAGTGGCACAATTAGAGTCTTATATGACCATAATGGTGCTAGGCTTGATAATTTTGAAGACATGTCAAATGAAGTGATCAGATTCTTCAAGAATCAATTGGGGGTGGCTGACCCTGAGGTTAAATGATGTAGTGTCAGAATTATCAAGGATTTGCTTGATTATTCCTTACCTAAGGGTGCTGCAGATGCTTTATGTAAGGATGTCTCTAGGGCAAGAGAATAACAAGTACCCTGGTCCTGATGGTTATAATTCTTATTTCTTCAAAAGAACTTGGCCTATAGTTGGGGAAGATTTTCTGGTAGCTATCAGGTATTGTTTTGACAACTCATTTATGCTCCATTCTTTCAATGCAACTACTGTTGTTCTTGTACCTAAGGTTCCTAATCCGAATATAGTAAAGGAGTTTAGACCCATTTCTTGCTGCTCTGTGATATATAAGACCATTACTACAATTTTAGTGGGTTGGTTGTCTACTGTTTTTCCTAGTATGGTCTTTTTGAACCCGTCTGCTTTTGTGAAGGGAAGAAACATAGTAGATAATACCCTACTAGCTCAGGAGCTTGTTAGGGGTTATACAAGGAAAAAATCTCCCCAAGATGTGCTCTTAAAATCGATATACAAAAAGTTTTCGATTCTTTAAACTGGAGTTTGTGGGTGTTATTTTGCATGCTTTGGGGCTACCTGAGAAATTCATTGGATGCATTTGGGCATGTTTTACAAATCCTAGCTACTCTATTGTTTTCAATGGCAGCCTTGTTGGATATTTTAGGGGTGCTCGGGGTGTAAGACAGGTGATCCCCTATCACCATACATTTTTGTCCTTGTTATGAATGTTCTATTAAATCTTCTGAATGTGGCTGCTTCGAAGGGAGTTTTTAACTTCCATCCTAAATGCAAGAGGATAGGTCTCACCCACCTTTGCTTTACGAACGACCTTCTTATTTTCTACAAGGGTTCTATTGATTCTGCCATTGGAGTGCAAGCTGTGTTAGATGTATTTTACTCCATGTTAGGGTTGAAGTTAAATGCTAGTAAGTGTGAGATGTATTCTGCTGGGATTTCTGCTGAGCAGTGTGCTGTTATCAAAGAGATTATTGGTTTTAATCTGGGAAACCTCCCGGTAAGATCTGGGAGTTCCATTGGTTACTAGTAAGCTTGCTGTGAAGGACTGTCACTGCCTCATTGATAAAAATAAGGGTAAAATTGAATGTATGGGCTAATAGACACCTTAGTTTTGCTGGAAGACTTCAACTTGTTCGTTCTGTTTTATTCAGCATGGCAAATTACTGGTGTAGACAGCTTATTCTATCACAAGCGATTATTAGGAAAATTGAACAGTTGTGTTTTTGATTTTTCTGGAAGGGGTCTGACTTGCCTGTTAAAGGTGCTAGAGTTAGCTGGAAGAAAATCTGTTTAACGAAATCTGAAGGGGGTTGGGAGTGCAAGATGTAGGAGGATGGAATAAAGCTTGTATTGTGTATTTAATCAGGAAATTACTGGTTAATGAGGGCTCTCTCTGGGTGGCTTGGATGTGTTCTTATGTGATTAGGAATGCTGATTTTTGGCATATGAATATCCCCACAAATATCAGTTGGAGTTTCAAATGTCTTCTAAAAATTAGGCATCATGTTGCTCATCTCTTTGCTAGTTCGGTCTGTGAACTTAATGCGAGGCGAATTTGGGATGATCTGCGCATTACAGCTCCTAAGGTCTCTTGGCATCAATTGGTCTGGTTCCCTGGGTGTATCCCTAAGCATAGCATCATTGTGTGGATGGCTATATTAAACATACTTCCTACTCGGGTAAGACTTTTAAAAATGGGTTTAAATATTAAAAATGATAAATGTCTACTATGTGGTATTGAGGCTGAGTCTAGAAAACATTGATTCTTCGAATGTAGTTTTGCTAGAGAGTTATGGGGTTCTATTCTTGCTTTATGTGGTGTGTTCCGTAGAGTAAGTAGTTGGGATGGGGAATTGGTATGGGCTACTCATTGTTTTAAAGGAAGGTCTCTCATTGTGAAAGTTCTTAAACTTGCTTGGGCCGGTAATGTGTATGTCATTTGGAAGGAGAGAAACAATAGGTTGTTTGGGAGTAGAGCAAGATCGATGGATGATGTGCTAAAAGATGTTAAAGAAGTTTTTCGGATCCGGCTGGAGGATTGGACTTTTAGCAAAACTGACCCGAGAAACGTCGCCCTCTGTGTAAACTGGGGTATAGCTTAAGTTGGGTGTTTTGTTCCATTGTTCATTCACTATTGTGTTGGTTGGTTAGCTTTTACTGGCTTCTCAGCTTATGCTAATTTGTTGTTTTATTGAACTCTGTATTTTGTAGCAGGTTTCTTGTTTTTTTGGGAAATGAAATGGAATTATCTAAAAAAATATTTTAGGGACTAAATTGAACTTAAATAAAATCTTAAAGACTTTACATATTATTTTCTTTTTTTTATTAAATTCAATAAATAAAAAATTATCATGTGACGTATTCTGATTGACTATAATATTTCAAACGATCTTGAAAAATAAGACGCATATTTTTATTTTTATAATTTTAGAGTAATGTTTACTTCAAAATGATTAAGCGCTGAATGATTCAAATGCTGAATGATTCAGAGGCTCTGTAAGAATTAGCTCTGAATGTGACATGTTGTTTGATAATAGCTCTGAATCATTCAGAATGTACTTTGATGTTGAATCATTCAACATTGTTTTGCTGAATCAATCAGCACTGAATCATTCAGAGGTGAAAAACAAACACGCTGAATGCTGAACGCTGAACGGTTCAGCATTCAACGCTGAATGATTCCATTAAGAGCCAAACAAACAACCCCTAAAACATCTCAAAAAATAGTTTTGGAAACAAAATAAAAAAAGTACCCTTAAGAACAAAGAAGCTTTTATAATGAACGTTGAAAAATAGAATAACTAAATAATATCTTAAAATTAAGAATATTTTAAAAAATATAATGTACTGAATAAATTTTTATAAACTTTTTTATATAAATATTTTATTTAAACAAGACAACAACGTTAAATATAATAAAATCTTATATATTAGAAAGTAGCAATGCTCAAATAGAGAGATTAAAAAGTAGCAGTGCTCAAAACAGACATTAAAAAGTAGCAATGCAGAAATAGAGACAAGCTTCTTCAATGTCCAGAAATCACCCAAAAACATTAATAGCTTATACAAATTTCAGATGCAAAATTGATCAAACACAATACAGCTTTATAACCTGCTCGATCTTCGCACGACAAACAGGGCAACCCCATTTCTTGGCTTTGATCTCGTTCAAGCATGACATACATCCGGCAACATGGCCGCAGGGAACACAAGCCGCCTCCGATGGAGCATCCAAACATATCGTGCATGAAGAAGGGCCTCCATCTTCTTTTGTTTGACCAGCACTAGCAGGTAAGTTTTCAGCTGTGATGGGCGTTGAATCAATTGATGGATATTTAATTGGACCATCAGCTACAATTTCGTCTGTGGCCGGTGGTGCTGTTGGGACTGAATCTGCAGATTTTACCCCCGTAAGGTTGGACGACATGTTACTATCAAGGATGTTGGTGCTTGCGGTTGTGTTGCTACTGGAGCCAGCTTCGGTCATTTTCCATTCACTACTACTTGCTTTTGAAGGAGGAACCACTATCGGTCCTGCTGAGCCACCTAACCCGCTAGTACTTGCAGCGGCCCAAACCATGGATGAACTAGCTTCATTGCCGGAGTGAAAATCAAAATTGGGCGTCTCTGCAATAGCTGACTGGATGGAGGCATTGATTGCCATTGCTAATTCTAAATCTTCTTCATCTGCTGGTGCAACTGCCGGAGCAGTCGGAGACTGAGAAACATGCAGAAATGCAGGACCCCTGGCCTGCATATTTCCGATGTCATAATAAACATGGAGACTGTGTGAAAAGGTATTATAAATAAAATGTTTCATATTTCTAAAAGTTGGGTGAATGGACAACAAAGTACACTGTTTTTACTCATTACTGCATATAAGCTGGCTGCAACTCGACAGTCCACCCGAAAAACAAAACAAAACAGTACCCTTGTAGAAGTTGATATGTAATTTCAATGAAAATTTTATTCATGTGTATAAGATTATGTGACAATTCCATATCTGTTAAGATACAGTAACTTCTTTTCGAAAACCCAACAATCTCCAACAAAAAATTCTTAGTACTATTTAAAAAAAATTAAAGTAAATGTAATCCTGATGGTAAAGGAATTGCTCCTTTCGTTGAAGTATAATATACTTTATGCAAGGGCGAGTAAAGTACCTGAGGAATCCCTTTGCATGCATCACAAAACCACTGCAGCTGCTGTCGGTCATTTTCATTGCCTGGTGCAAGTTTAATGCGTATTTCTGGAAAAGAAACAGATCATGTTGAGGTGAATTGTAACATAGGAAAAAACATTTATCATCAAAAAATGGAACGCATAATTATTTGTAGTACTATCCGGACATCAAAGCAAATAAACAATGTTCATCTAATTATAGGCATAGTTGTCATAAGGTGAAAAGAAACCCAGATATCTAAAGAAAGTCTACCGAACTGGGGTACGGTGAAGCTGCAATTTGAAGTCCTAATGATTTCCAGTACAAAATACTCTGGTTTTATCCTCTTACATGCAACTTGAGTATATTTCAGGGTTTTATCTAACAACTGGAAATGATTGAAAATTACCATGCTTACGCCTAACTATTCCAGCTTTACACCTCGCCTCTCGGGAGGTGTAAATAGTTCGTCTCCGCCTCCCGCGTCTTGAGACTATGCATAATGATGAAAACAATCAAAGCATGTTGATTCAGAAATCAATCTGATCTCAAACTCCATAATATAGCCAGAAAAGATTGACAACTAGAAGTATTGGCAAGAGAAATTACTGCTGGAATTATCGACAATTGCCACAGAAGGATCAGGCTGGTTGAGCTTCGGCTCCTCCAAATTAGCTTTCCACAATGAAATAACTGTACGTGGTTGGGCTTCCTGTTAAGTCACCAATTACCCAGTAAGTGATGGAAAAGCATTTAAGGAGAATAAAAAGTTTAAACAGGACAATCTAAAGCAGCGCGCTGCCTCCATATATTTTATATCCAATACCATAGTAATCAATTGAAAGTAAAATCCTTCAATATATACAAATAGGACATGTATGGGTATAATAGCATTATAAGCATTTAAAAAAGCCGAAACTTGATTAATAAATCGGATACTGGTGGTTATAACAAAAAAAGCCAAAACTAACTTAATGATCAGATTCAAGCCAGTTTAAGTCAAGCTTGAGGATTTTATCTTATGATTTATTTCAGCTATCATTCTAGTAAGAATTCAAGTTGATAAAAGGCATAAGCCTGATTTAGCTAGCTTGAAGAGCATATTATTTGGCTCATTTTACCTCCTTTTGCATCCTTAGACTTGCATTGCCATACTCATAAAGAGACAAATTATACTTGCAATACCTGCAAACTAGAATATATGGCCAGCTCCAACTTGAAGGGTTTGCCATTATTTCGGGAACCAGTAGGTAGAACAACAGCCCAACTGCATTAAAAGCATTAATGAGATGATACACAAATTATTAGGAAAGAGAAAATGCTATTTCTTGCAAAAATGAATTGAAATTAAAAGGTATTGTAAACAATAATACTCACACTTTTCTTGAAAGCAATTGAGGAACAAACATTTCAATGAACCCTGGCCCATAGCACTCCCTCATCCAACCAGAGAATAAACATGTGTGATCCTGCACGGCATCAGAGAAAAAAAATCTCACTAAAGGCAGCACGTAGTTATACAAGAAAATGTAAAAGTTTTGAATAGATAATAAAATTATGATATTGGAATGGACTTCGATTTATACCTCAATTGCTCGCACAACATTGACGTTTCCTTTCACCCTAGCAACCTCTAGAGGTGTTTGACAATCATCATTCATCACCAATGGATTAGCTGAAAATTCAAAAAAGTCACTTATCTACTCTAGAAATTTAAAATCAAACGTATTCCTTCTGTAACAACTAATCACTTGGTTTTAGCATAGTATGTAACAGAATTCAATAAAACATGAACCTCCATGGGAAAGAAGTAATTTGACTGTATTTTCAAGGCCTCTCTTTGCTGCATGGTGCAAGGGTGTCCCGCCAAGCCTACCTAAGCACAGAAAAAAAAATCAGCTAATATACAAATCATTTTGATTAAGCCTCCAAAGCTTTTTTTCTATGAAAACCTTATAGCTGCAATTTGGTTAACGTCCATGAGAAAACTACCAGAAATGTTTTCTGCTTCAGCAGGCAAAATGGGAAACTTAAAGAAACAAAGGTCCTTGACAATCATATCTTGCTACTAGAAATTACTATTATTATTTTCTTAAACCCCGAATTAAACAAAACCCAATTTTTTTCCTCATAGAAATGAATATATTACATAAACTCCCTAGGAAAATAATAATAAAATCGACAAGAATAGAAACCTGGACGATAAGCGTTAACGTTAGCACCGAGTTCGATCAAAGTTTTGGCTACACCAAAAAGCTGTGGATTCAAACACGCTAATATCAACGGCGTTTTCCCCTCTCTATCAATCCACTGTCAATCCAAACCCAGAGAACAGATTAATTGATCGATGAAAGCCTAATAATCAGTGATTAGTGAAGGGGGAAAATCAAATGAATTAGTAGCTACCTCAAGGCCCGCGCCTTCACGTGCAAGAGATTTGATCCCTTCTGAATTACCATAATTGACTTGATTGTATAGCAATTCGTCTTTCGATTGTTGTTGCCCCATTCAACAACAAAAAAGCTTCTTGTTCTATTTTTTGTTCGGTACGATGGAAAATTGGGCTCGTTATTTTCCCAGGAAAAAACTGTTTCCTGGAAAACGAAGTGAAAAACAAGTTCCAAAGTTAGGATCGAGAAACTGAGAAAGATTGTGAGCTTTTTAAAAGGGAAAACTATATTGTTATTAAATTTCCTTATGAGATTCTTAACAGAGAAGAAATTTCGAAGTCATGGAACAATAAATATTAGGATTAAATACATCATTGCCCCCTAAACTATACCATTTATACCTAGTTGTCCCCTAAAGTGTTTTTCGAGACCTTTTGCCCCCTAAAAACACATAGGTAAATTACAAACATAGTCACTCAGATATTATTTTGATTCTATTTTAGTCAGTAAACTATTTTATTTTAAAATCATCACTAAACTTAAGTTTTTATTTCGATTTAGTCACTCAATTCAATTAGATTTATTTTTTAAATTTACAATATATAAAAATTCATCTATATCACAGATTTTTTACTCAACCCATAAATTTAATGTATAATAATAAATAATATTATAACGTAAATAATATACAATATATTTAATTGTTTGTACTTAAATTTTTAATAAAAAATATTAAATTAAAATATTACACTCCTAACTTTAACCTTTCCGAATGTATGTAGTAAATAAATTAGAAGCTGTATTCTTCCATTTTGTAAATATACATGTTGAGTAATGTTCAAGCTTCCATTTTGATTGGAAAAATATATTTAGTTTAAACATATACATTTTTATTTAGTTTAACTATGACTTTTTATTAATGGGTAAAATATATCAAAGGTCTGTAAACTATGCTTAAATAATATTTGAGTTATTACAAAATAATCATTATGAAATTATAATAATTATAATATTTTAATGATCAATTTTATAACAATTAGACAAATTTAATGATAAAATCGTAATATTTAAAAGTTTAATGACTAAAGGAATTACCTGTGCATAGATCAGTTACGTTTGGCTCGATTTACCCTTTATTTATTAGTTTTATAGGAACCGCTGGCCTAAAACGCGGTTGATTTAATGAGAATTTTTGGAAATGTTTCGTATGTTACGAAAAGAATAGAATTGTTGATTATATAATTACTACAGGGAAATTCTATAACAAAAATTATATTCACCTTTAATTTTATAGAATGAAATTTATCAGGGTAATCGTTTAGTTTCTCAACTCACTTTTTGTTTTATTTTTATCACCTAACTATTATTTTTTTCTCTAAACCATATATAATATTACGTTTTGGTTTCATTTTGGTCACTAATCGTTAAAAAATAATAAATTTTTTAAAAAGATATTGTATTATAAAATTAACTCGTACACACCGGGACACGAACATGAACCTCGTTAAAAAACCTCCATACATTCAAATTCTAACCAAACACATGACTTCCTTTTGGTTCCATCTGCATCAAATATGCGGTCCTACTCAAGATTAAAGGCAATATAACCCTCTTGAATACTCTCAACTAACCCCTCTGAGCAACCATAAACAAAGCGATAATGTTAATCACATCATAACACACTTGAAATATGGCAATTCCAATACAAGCTTGCTTACTCAACAATCAGATTGAAAGAGGTTCAGGAATCGAATCTTCAATTCTTGATCTATGCTATGAAAGAAAAAAAGACACATAAGAGTAACGACAGCAATATTGGAAAACGTATAAACTGAAAGAATAGATTTGAATTCATTGATTTCTCACTTACAAGCACACCATTTTATAGCTAATGAAACTAGTTTGTTAAACTAACAATATATGCTAACAGACTAAAAACTTTGGCGCCTAAGCTAACTAACTATACTATAGTGCAAGCACGTACACAACAGTTCTGTTATAGCCTAATATTCCCCCTACTTTCTCAACCTTCTTGATGAAAAGATGAACAATTGAATCAAAAGTGCTTATACTTCCTCCCGTTCACTTAAATCAAAAGTGTCGATGTTTCCTTTCATTCTTTTTGAATCGAAAGTGTCGATGCTTCCTTTCGTTCTTCTTATTCACCTTCATTTCTTTCTTCTTCATCCTTTTATACAAGGACAAGGACCTTTTTGTTGGGACATACAAAAGACAAGTGTTATAAACTACATGGTTACCCTCGAGAGTATGGTTCTCATTCTAAGACTTCTCATGTTGCGTCTATTGATGTAGTTTATGAATCTTCAGGCTATGTTTGTACTAGTAATGCTGGTAATGTCAATGGTACTAGCAATAACAAAAGTACTGCAACTGATTACTTACCACACAGCAATGTCAACAACTTATTGCCATGCTTAGCACAAAATTGTAAACTGCTTCAGTTTCTGATATACCCTCCGCATCCATTAATCTCTCCATGCAAGGGACTTACGGGCAGCTTCCTCGATTGTAACTCTAACAGGCTTTCCATCGAATAGTTTCTAGGCAGTTACATTGGGTGCACAAGAAGACAGTAAAGGAAGCGAGCCATCAAGAGCTTGGCGATAAGGGATTGTACGTGCATCTTCTTTACAAAGTAAGACTTCATTTACCTCTGAAAAAGTGACGGCGTGGAGAGGAATTGAAACTCGGGTCTTTTCGCGCCAACGGGAAAGAAGAAAATAAACTACGGAGAAGAAAAGTGTGAGGAACACCACATTCGTTAGATACAAAGGAAGGGGTAATGCATCAGAAGCTTGGGCGGTATCTTCCACTACAGGAATCCCCTTCGTTTGCCTGACAGTATGAACTGGTTTAGTCTCCGTACGCCGACGGCCTTCCGTTTTAAGCGGCGCTGGAAACAGAAGCCGGCAGTAACAGAGGAGGATGCAGCGGACGAACAAAAAGGGCATGACCGTTTGGCGAATGATACCATATTGAAAAATGTATAAGCTGAAAGAATAGACTGAATTCATTGATTTGTCACTTACAAGCACGCCATTTTATAGCTAATGAAACTAGTCTGTTAAACTAACAATATATGCTAACAGACTAACAACTTTGGCGCCTAAGCTAACTAACTATACTATAGTGCAGGCACGTACACAACAGTTCTGTTATAGCCTAACAAGCAGCTCAATAGTTTCACTGAGGAACTACTCTCTGTCTCCTACCAAGGGAAAAAACAGGGGTAGACCTGCAACACATCAAACTAGAACGAACCCAATCTACACCCCTCAAGCCTTCATCCATATGTACGGATGGACTCCTCGGACACCTTGTTGAGCCAACTCATGGGCCTCTACATTACTTTCTCTATGCGCAAATCTTGCCTTCTAGTGATGCATAGCACAAATCTTATTGCACTTTCAAACAATTTCTTCAAAAGCCATGGACACGTTATTCAGCTTCTCAATCCATTTAACAGCCATCAAATAATTTGATTCTATTGTCAAAACGTTATCCTCTACCCATCTAGAGGAGAAAAAACTTGGCATGTTTCTAAAATGGCAGCTAGCTCCGCCCCAATAGGGTCCGACATTCCGATATGTCTCGAAAACCAGATGAGGGTCTTACCTTTATGGTCTCGAAGAATGGCTTCGATTCCAGCTGCACCTACGCTGCCTTGCACTGCCGCGTCTACATTGAACTTTAGATTGCCTTAAGAAGGAGCAGACCAAGAACCTACAATCGACCTCGAATGTTGCTTCGTTTCTAATGATAATGTCGATAGACGCCTTATGAAATCACTGATGGAAAACATCACTTCTGGCCACTAATTGCTTCTTACCCAAAATCCAATTCGCACTAACACTAAATCAAAGATGCTTGTCACATCGAAGGTTTCATTCTTGAAAATTACCTCATTACGTGCCAACCAAATGGTCCAGACAATAGCAAAAAAAGTGAGCTTTCACTACGCTTTAAGAGACGGTTTTACCAACAAATCTTCCCACGATATAAATAAGCTTCTCAGGGAACCCGGTATAACAAAGCTGATGCTCCAAGAAGAACACCACTCCTGCCATATTTCCCAAGACAGTTCACATTGGCAAAGGAGATGGTTCACCGTTTCTTCTATTTTACCGCACAATGCACATTTTCCAGAATCTTGAGAAATCACTCCCCTTTTTAAGAGTTCAAATTTAACCGGAATCCACACGAAGGCTTCCACGATTGGTGGAGCAAAACCTGCCCAGATAGACTTCATGTACGATCAACATTAACCCCTTCGCATGTAATTTTCTCGTAGTAGCCTTTTGGAGCATAGGAGCCCGAAGAATTACCCACCCATTTTAGACAATCAATACTTGTTGAATTACCAACGTCGGAATTAACAATATCCATAAACCGATGCCATTGATCTACTTCCCAATCAAACAACTTCCTACGAAGCTCTATTGACCATTCTCATGAACTATTTGATTTGAATCCAAAACCCCACACTTTGTCATCTTTCTTCAGAGTTAATGCTAAAATTCGCGTAAACATGTCATTGAGAGACAGAGCTTCTGTAACACCCCAAACTCATATTCGACCTGAATACAAGTCCAAGATGTCACATTGACTTTTCAAACTTTAATTCTTAAAGAAAAATCCCAGGAATTTAAAACTTTCATTAAAACAAAATACTTTAATTTACATAAAAGAGACCACTTAATACAAAATCGATCAGAGCATTCGTAATTAACCACTTATTACATACCAACACTTTATATACAACAAAATACCTACTTTGTCAATTACTTCTGATCTGATTTCATAGTAATGTTGTTGTCCGTGCCACTGCTATTCTGAATCTTCTTATTTCTTGGTACCTACGTGTAAATCACTTACACGCTAAGTCATAGACTTAGTGAGGCAATAAATGAATATGCAACAATATCTTCATGAATATGCATTCTTACCATTTCCTTCATGACATTTCAATATACATGTATCTATTACATAATAACATATATAATCATATCATGCATGTACAAAACTTACCTTCTTGTACCACTTTCACTTTACTTTGTATTTCAATTGCTCATGTATATTATTGAGAATAGAGGTATGTGAGTGCATTGAGGTTGTGCACTAATGCTGTCACCACAGCTCGTATCAATTCCCTCATGGGGCACCAAACCCTAGTTCAGTATTCGTCCCGAAGGACTATCATATATATCCCGTAGAACCACTACATCCCGAAGGACTACGTCCCGAAGAACTATTATACCCTCGACTCTTGGC